GAAGGAGATCCACAAGTTTATTGTCCTGAAGATACTGGGGTCACTGAGGCTGTGCGGGTTAATGACTGCGGGAGCCCTGAGGACAGTGGATCACAGAATGAGCCAGACTACTGCAATTCAGAGGACTCTGGGCAGCTGATGGCCTCCTACGAGGGTAATGCTAGGGGCTACCAGGTGCCTCCTTTTGGCTGGCGGATCTGCTTGGCTCATGAGTTTGCAGAGAAGAGGAAACCCTTTCAGGCTAACAACGTCTCTCTAAGCAACTTGATAAAGCATTTCGGTATGGGCTTGAGGTGAGTAGATCCCGTTGCCTAAAATGCCTTTGTTCCCATTCAAGACTCGCTGCATAAGTGGGAAAGGGTAGTCAAGCAAGTGGGCTCTTGGTTCCAGACATATGGGGCGCCATATCCCCCGCATACTTTAGCCCTGCCGTTTTTAAGGGTGAGACCGAAGAACGTATTTTTGCAACCCTCTTTTTCTAGCATCATCTCCGCAGCAAAGAGAAGGAGCGTTTAGTTCTGCAGTCATTCTTTCCTATTTAGGCTTCCTTCCAAGCACTTCCTCTTTCCCAGACTTCACTTTGAGATCAGCTATACTTTGTGACAAAGTAGATGATCAGCTTCTGTTGTACTGACACAGTGTTTTGTTTGCGAGGAGGAGGTTCTCCAGCCTCCATTCCCCTCAGCAGCTGAAGCATTCTGTACCTTGTGCCTGCTTCAGTCCCAGCATTCATCTGCCTCCTTCCTCACGCTCTGACTCCCTCCAATAGTTGAGTCTGGCTGTTGTCAACCTTAAAGAGATGGTGAGAAGTTCACTCTATTCTGTGACAGAGAGCTTCTGATTTAAAAAAAAAAAAAAAAAAAAAAAAAAAAAAAAAGGAAAGTTGGAATTGGGCTAAGTAGTGCACACATATAGTGCCACCTACTTGGGAGGCTGAGGCAGAGGATTGATTTGAGCCTAAGAGTTCAGAGCAAACCTGAACACCACAGTGAAAGCATCCCCGAGTAACAAATGGGGGAGAGCTGGGAATAAAGCTCAGTAGTAGAGAGCATGCATTCCACCACTGAAATACTTCCCCAGCCCCTAAAGATGACTTCTAGCCAGATGTGCTGGAGCATCCCCAGTGCTCTTATAGGTAAGTCTTCCCCAGTCAGCCTTAGCTTTTCTTCCTATCCCACTGAGTTCAAAGACAGTGATGAATAGCCATTCCTATTAACAGAAACAGGTGTATATGAAGACAGAGAGCATCATTCTGAAGTCATTCTGAGTCAGTTCACATATAAGCACAGTGCTGGGGAGGGAGGCATAAAAGATGGGAAACTCGCTCCCAACAGCTTCTAAAATAGGGAGCCCTTCCTGCCCCAGTCAGTTTTATGGGGCTGTGGTGGGAAATCCACATTACTAACTAACCCCAGCCCTAGGCAATGAGAAGGGCCTGGTGCTGCCTGGACATTTGGCTCCTGGCGGTGGCCTATCTCAGAGAGTCATTCCTTTAGGCCCTTTATGAAACTGACTGTACTGGTTACTTTTCTTATTGCTATGATCAAAACTGGAAAGAAGTAACTTAAGGAAGGGTTTGTTTTGGCTTACAGTTTGGGGGTACATTCTGCCATGGCAGAGAAGTAATGGTAGCAGGAATGAGAGGCAAGCTGATCACACTGTTTCACAGCCAGAAGCAGAGAGCAATGAATGCTAGAACTCTGCTTTCTTTCTCCTTTTTACTTAGCCCAGGGCTCCAGCCCATGGGATGGTGTCACTCATAGTTAAGGAGCATCTTCCCACCTCAATTAACCTAATCTAGATAATCATTCCTCATAGGCATGCCCATGGGCTTGTCTGTTTGGGGATTCAAGATCTGGTCAAGTTGTCAGTAAGAATTAACCATTATATTGTTCTAGTCTAACTCTGACCCCAAAGCCCTTGTGTCAAAATGGGATTTAGGGTACTGAGACAGGCACAGTGGATTGCATACGATCAGGATAAGGTCAAGAACAGGTGTACATTCATCCTAGCCTCTTAGCTGAGTCACAGAGGTCCCAAGCTCTTGCTCAGCCCCTTGGACCTTGACTTCCCATACTAGGATAGGGTGGGTATTATGGACATACAGCTTTTGGAATGTAATGAAGTCCTACGTGGAGGAGAAGGCAGAGATGAGAATTCAGATGATAATTTTTGAGCTGGGATTGGTATTATAGATAAAACCGTATGTGTCAAGAATGGCCAGCTTAGGGCTGGAGAGATGGCTCAGAGGTTAAGAGCACTGACTGCTCTTTCAGAGGTCCTGAGTTCAATTCCCAGAAACCATATGGTGGCTCACAACCATCTGTAATGATATCTGATGCAGGCAGAACATTGTATACATAATAAATAAAATCTTTAAAAAAAAAAAAAAAAAGAATGGCCAGCTGTCAGACTAGAGCAGGGAATTCCTTGGAGTAAGCTGAACTGAGGGGCACCCTCAACAGGAATGCTGGCAGGATTGTTATTGGAGTCTCTACTTAGTAAGAATTTGATTGCCGTTCCTTCAGGCAGTCAGTTCACTCAATGTTTACTACCAGATAGTCCTTTGTTCTCCTATCTTAGGATTTATAATTCTTCTCCAGTCCTTTCTGGCCTCTCATTGCTGTCCTGTCTCCTCTAAACTGGCAGAGGACATTCATTCTCTCTACCACCTATCCTTTGTCTTCCCGCCTTTTACCCTGCTGCCAGAATGTACCCCTTCCATTATTTTTAATACATTTCTGCCCTCCCAGCTCTTGCCCCAGTCTGCCTTCCATCGCTCTTTCTATGTCAACTATTTGCACATCCATTCTTTTATAAATTCATCAAATATTTATGGGCTGCAGGCCCTGTGCCTTGTCCTGTACTTAGAGCTGTGGGTAACATTCATCTAGTCTTGGTCATTGTCCCTTAACCCAAGGAACTTAAAAAGTTGTCATGCTCACGTGAGGGACACACTGAAATAACAAGGCAGTGTCTAATTAGGAACTTAGATAATGTGAGGCAATAGTCATACCTGTCACTGATATTCTACTTTATGACTTTCTTATCTGTTGGCTTATTTGATCTTTCGGCGATTACATGAGGTGGCCAGGGCAGAAGTTACCCCCATTTTGTAGATGGGGGTTCACACATCAAATTACTTGTTGAGATGTGAATGAATGTTGGGCATTAAATGATTGGCAAAGGAGGAGAATAGAAGTGGGAGAGACTGGCAGAACAGGGCTTGCTTAGTGACCTATCCTGAATGAGAATGTATAAGGAATAAGACTAGAAGGCAGGCTGAGGCAGACATCCTAGCCTTGAAAATAGAACCATCTATGTGTATGTGACAGTCCTGATCTTTTTCCTGTTGGATACAGAGCAGGGAGCAAAAACACTATGACTTTTCATGTTTTCTTTGTGAAGTTCTGCCTGTCCTGGAACTCACTCTGTACATCAGGCTGGCCTCAAACTCACAGAGATCTGCCTGTTCTGTCTCCTGAGTGCTGGGATTAAAGGTGTGCACCACCACTGCCTGGCTAACACTGTGAATTTTTAGAAAGCTTTACTGTAGTGGATATTTTGATTTTGTTTTATTTTGTTGGGACAGGTTCTCACTGATGCCCAGGTTGTCCTGGGAATCATCATGCAGCCCAGGCTAGCCTCAACCCCAAGTGCTGGTTTTACAGGTTTGAGTCATCATGCCCAGTTAATTTACTGGGTATTTTGAAAGAGCACAATCTGAAAACTTACAGTTAAATTGAAGAGGGAATGGGCTTAGGGGGGAAATGGTCCAGAATAAACACTAGTTACCTTTAGCTGAGTTGGTTTGTTTCCCATCTACCTGGTATATTCTCTAATTTGTCACCTTTCATAGTCATAAATAAAGTCATTTTTAAAAGAGGAAGTCCTTTTGGCAGCTTCTGCTTGTTTGAAAATTAGGGGGATGTGTGGAGGATGTAGCCAGGGAAGGGCAACTGGCCCTTTCAACACAAACAAAAGCTCCTGAGGTTTGAGCTAACACAGTGGTGGTGGAGTTAGAACAATCAGTTCCTGCTCAGAATAGAAAAACAAGTGCACCCTACACTAGTGCTTGGGCAACTAGGAAGATAGGAACCTTGAACTGGAGTAATTCATAGGAAGACAGTTTAGAAGATGTAGTGATGGGTTCTAGGTTATTGTTTGAGACA